AAGTATCAAGGACTAAATCACGTACCACAAGAATCTCCTGATCACCCTGTTTAATCCTATGCAAAGTTGGCGCACCCACTGATGGGTCTAAACCTGGGGGAAGTTGTCCTTCTGCTTGTAGTTTGGCAATTTCCTCTAAGAAGAACAATTAGACAACTGAACATTACAATAATAGCAGCAGTTTGAACCTTTAGTTAATGGTGTTCCGGGAATTTGCTCTATCTGGTCTTTAGTCGGCATCATACAGACATTGAAATTGCTATCTCCAGGATTCTGAAAATCAAAAAGCAGAAGAAAACTGAGCAGTACGATAGAGTATAACGGTAAATGAGATATTGTGCCACTATAAAAAACAGCATCCCTTCAAAATTATTGTAAGAACGCCTTGTGAATTTGGTCATTATGAAGGCATACAGTATCCATTTTGTATTGACAACAGTACCCATTTCAAAATGTACTTATAGACTTGTTAAGCGTTGCACATGAGTTTTTAAGAAAGTAGATGTAAAGAAAGTAAAAAGAAGAGCAGCATTTGTTTCAAGCATTGCCAAGAGACAGCAATAATAACCTTCACAAGTGTCTTAGTAATTCTGCTTGACACTATAACAGAATTCTTCTAATTGACCAAACTTTCTATCTTTCTCTCTCTCTTTCTCTCTTCCCCCTTCATTCTTGTGCAAAAAAAAGAAATGAAAAGCGAACAGAACATCAGGAATCAAGAAGTGTATTAGTATGATTGATTCACGGTTATTTTTATTAGAGCTTTTTACGAGAGACTCTAAGAAAGAATCTACCTTGCGTCGAACATGTGACAGAGTTATCGTTCTGAGTAATCTTATAAACATACATTAAAATGTTTCAAAAACTTATGCATAGAGGGTAACGCTTTTTTATACACAACTTATGCTATTTTCCAGCAGTACTTGATCCGGAATAACTGCGCTATTCTGCTCGTTGCATCTCACATTTGCAGCGAAGCAACAATTAATTCGTTTGTCTTACTGTGAGATTTCAACAATGACTTGTCAAAGTTTTGAAATAAATTCATCTCAAAGCAGTGACGTCCTAACTTTCATATATCTCATCAATTTTTCGTCTTGCTTTTTTAGAGCAGACCATGCGCTTTTCTATAGTGTCTGGAGTGATAAAGAAGGGCAAAAAGATACAGCAACCATGTTAAAAAATAGTCACTCAAAATGTGCATTTACGCATTGAACCTACCTGATATGGAAATACGGGATATGCAGGAAAGGTGAGTAATAAGCCACTGGAAAACACTTACCCATAATTCACACTAACAAGCTTATTCCAGCTTTTATAGGCTAGCAAGTCCTAGCTGTGGTCTGATTACTTTTGAACGAACATGCTCTCACGACAGTTTACAGTGGCGACACCACGATTACCGTTGAATATTACCCAAAGTAACTTTGGAAGACGACGCATCACGTTTCTCTACAAAGGTTCTTACGAATAAAGGTTTGTGGTGGCTGACGCAATTCAGACTCTCTTTCTAACCTTACTTTAATCTAATACCGCGAATCGGCGCTTTGTGCGCCAGATGTCTACGCGCATCGCGGACGTCTATAGCCGCGACGCACACTCTTCCTAGATAATGCAGGTGTAGTCTGTGGCGCTTGGAAGATCAGTGGTAATATAGTGCGCCAAATGTCTTCTTGCACCGCGGCTCATGGACATCTACAGTCGCGCCGTTACATTCCTCGTTGTAGATCTTATTTTTGGAGAATCTGGGGAGGTGCTGCACATCAAATCTGCGCCTACACTCCCAGAATTTCGTTTAACGTAAGGATAATCAAAAAAATGCATAAATGCATAATCGGGTATGAATGCTAAACTTCGTATATCCATCGCAATGACATAAAAAACGTTAGGAACTAGTAAACCCCTGTATGTGCGACATCAAGCTCGCGATATGTGACGCACGTGACTCGTGCCAGATCCAGCTATCTCGCACGGTCACGTATCTCCCAACATGCGAGCGAAAAGCAGTAAACATACGAAGATGGTAC